GTCGAGCCCCTAGCAACTTATGTCAGATGAAGCGGACGAGCTTCAGGGTTATGGCCCGTAAAGGTCGCCCACGTCGGCGTTCAATTGTCTTATGTTTCAGTTTGGTATGTTTCCTGGGGCTAAGAAGATGCTTCTTGACTCTCCTGTTTCTTCTGGTTCTTGGCCCCGGCACGACCCTCATTTTCTTCTGTCTTTGCCCCGAAAAGGGTGTCGACCCGCCAGTACGTCTAACCCGAATTCTCCGTCTAGCTCGCTTGAGCACGAATAACCATCTCTTCTCTCTTCCCAAAGATAACCCGTTGACCTTTCTCTTCTCTATCCTTTTCCTTTTCTTGGAACTCTCCCCTGCTTCGAATTGTCTCAAGGGGGCCCCATCCTCCATCATGGCTTTCCCTTTCCCTTTCGGGCTGGTTAGAGATAAAGTGGGCGTGGACCTGGACCTAAACAGCTTTAACCTAGCCCCCGCTACTGGGTCCTTCAACTTAGATCCATCTAGTTCTGGTATCATATATGCCCCCCAGTCAAGTGCCTCAACCACTCTGTAAGGTCCCATCCACCTATTGGCAAGCTTTCCGGTCCAGGTCCTCTCCAGTGCCGCGTCGTAGAGAAGGACCATATCTCCTACGCTCACCCTCTCTTTCCTAATTCGGTCGTTCTTATCCCATCTCTCTTTACCCTTGTCCCTTTTCACTGCCAGACGATCGGCTGCTGTCATAAGGTTTTCTTCCAATCCGTAGGCTATCTGTCTTGTTCGAGCAGCTAAGAGTTCCTCTCTGGATATCTCCTCTGCCCAGTCGACGGTTGTCCAACTGTCGACGTGAAACTCTATGGGTAGCAGACAATGTCGTCCAAACCACAAGGTGTATGGTGGGTATCCGGTACTAGCCCGGACCGTGACATTGTCCGCCCATATCGCGTATCGAAAATACCGTGGCCAATCACTGTCTCTACCCTTGCACCACTTGGACAGTGACGCTATCAGAGTCTGATGTCCCCTTTCTACTGGGGAGTTCGACTGTGGATGATAGGCGGTGGCTATCGAAACTCTCGCGCTGGCTTTCCTAAACACGCTCTGGACCTCGTCGGCTAGGAATTCCGCCCCTCTGTCCATCACTATCTTGCCGACACATCCATACCTAGATAGGTACTCTAGGACAAAGTTCTTTACTTCCTTTGCCGCCTTACTCCTGATAGGTCTACCGTCCACGAACCCAGTGAAATCGTCTCGTATGTTCACGGCGTAATTCATATTCCCTACCCCTCTCGGCATCTTCACCAGATCGATGTGTACCTTCTTTCCTGGTCGCGTTGGATATGATGGATGAAGCGGGTCTTTGTATTTCACAAGAGCTCTCTTCTGACACTCTTCGCATGTCATCAAGTACCTCTCGACGTCCTTATACTGTCCATCCCACCAGTACAACCGGCGTATCTTTTCATAGGTTCCCTTGATTCCCCTGTGTCCTCCAACTACCCCGTCGTGAAGTTCCGCAACTATTGCCTGTCTCTCCTCTGGGTCACAGACTACTCGCAAGGGCATTCCCGACCCTACTGGCCTTCGGAAAAGGTGCCCTGCTCTAAGGCAGTACTGGGCTGCTTGCCTTCGGATATCTGAATCTTGACTCTCTTCTCCCGTTAGGTGTAGACCGATCATTCGGTACTTGCCCTCGTAAGGGTTAACTAGAAATCTCTCGACGCGCCTCGGCTCTGCAACTGTCAGAGCCGCTGCTACTATCGGACGCTCCAGAGGGATGCGTGAAAGTCCATCTGCCACGGCATTTTTCGTACCAGATACTCTTTCGACCGTGTAATCGTATAGCCGAATCCGTATTAACCATCGGGCGATGGTCAGGTCCGTTACACTAAAGTCCTTCTGGAGGACTGAGGCAACCGCGGTGGGGTCTACTCTCAAGATGAACCGTCGCCCATAGATATAGTGTCTGAACGTGTCTAGACACCGGAGAACAGCTAACACTTCCTTCTTGAA